GCTGGGAGGCCATCGCTACTAGGGTGGAGTGGAGGCCATTGCTATCATCTGGGAGGCCATCGTTACTAGGGTGGAGTGGAGGCCATGGCTATTAGCTGGGAGGCCATGTGGAGGTGGAGATGTTGTGGGTTGAGATGGATCTTTTTTCGGCTGGTGCATGGAGGTGGCTTCAGCTGTGGCTCGCTGGCGCTCGCCTGATCTCTGACAAGGGCATCTTCCCTTGACAAGGCGCGGGGGATAGTGTTGCGTGTCAGGGGCAGAGTCTGCCCTTGACAGGTAGTTGATCAGAAAGGGCTGTTGGCCTAATGGATAAGGCGTCCACCTCCGGAGGCGGAGATTCCAGCTCAAGTCCTGGGCAGCTCACTGTTTGCGGCTCGCTGTGGCTTGAAATTCTGCAAGTGTGCTGTCGCGAGGCGCGTGGTTTGGTGCTGCGCTTGCAGTTATGGTGGCTCTGGTAAATGGTTGGTGACAGTGGTCATCGTGGTGTCAGTGGCAATGAGGGTTTTTGTGGTGGTAGTTGCAGTGGCAACAAATGGCTGATGACGCAAGTGGCATCGATGATGTGAGGTTTGCAAATGTGCACCATGTCATTAGACCCCTTCATCATAGTCAGATTGCCAACACTCCAAAAATTGATCTTGCATTTTCTTGCCGGTTGGTAGTGCAGGCCACGTGCCCAAGGATGAAAAGGAAGCAAGAGCTGGGGGCGCCTGGCCTTTCTACTGGGAGCAAGAGCTTGGTAAGGAGGGGGGCTTGAAGAAAGCCAACTTTTTGAGCAGTGCTGGGGATGAGTTGTGTCTTTTTTGAGGAGCGTTTCTGCAGTTGGCCACGATGTGTGCATCATCGCCAGCCGTGGAGCCAATGCATCGTAGCTCGTGTGGCCTAATGGATAAGGCACCTCCCTACTAAGGAGGAGATTGTGGGCTCGAGGCCCACCTCGAGTGTTTTTCATCCATGTTGGCGTGGAGCAGATGGGCCGTTGAGATGGAGAGGCCAGCGGAGGTGGCGACCCTTTGTCGGCAACTGAGGTGGACTCAATTGCGGCTCTGGCGTTGAGGAGCGGAGGCTGTGGAGGTGGAGATGTTGTGGGTTGAGATGGATCTTTTTTTTCGGCTGGTGCATGGAGGTGGCTTCAGCTGTGGCTCGCTGGCACTCGCCTGATCTCTGACAAGGGCATCTTCCCTTGAGGAGGCGGGGGGATAGTGTTGCGTGTCAGGGGCAGAGTGTGCCCTTGACAGGTAGTTGATCAGAAAGGGCTGTTGGCCTAATGGATAAGGCGTTGGCCTCCGGAGGCGGAGCTCCCTTGACCGGCTTGCTGTGGCTTGAGATTCTGCAAGTGTGCTGTCGCGAGGCGCGTGGTTTGGTGCTGCGCTTGCAGTTATGGTGGCTCTGGTAAATGGTTGGTGACAGTGATCATCGTGGTGTCAGTGGCAATGAGGGTTTTTGTGGTGGTAGGTGCAGTGGCAACGAATGGCTGATCACGCAAGTGGCATCGATGATGTGAGGCTTGCATATCTGTGCACCATGCTCATCATAGTCAGATTGGGCAAGGAGGGGGGCTTGAAGGGGATGAGTTGTGTCTTTTTTGAGGAGCGTTTCTGCAGTTGGCCACGTGGTGTGCATCATGGCCAGCCGTAGAGCCAATGCATCGTAGCTCGCTAATGGATGACGTGCCCCACCTCGAGCATCTTCGTCCATGTTGGCGTGGAGCAGATGGGCCGTTGAGATGGAGAGGCCAGCGGAGGTGGCGACCCTTTGTCGGCAACTGAGGTGGACTCAATTGCGGCTCTGGCGGAGGAGCGGAGGCTGTGGAGGTGGAGATGTTGTGGGTTGGGATGGATCTTTTTTTCGGCTGGTGCATGGAGGTGGCTTCAGCTGTGGCTCTCTGGCGCTCGCCTGGTCTCTGACAAGGGCATCTTTCCTTGAGAGGGGCAGACTGTGCCCTTGACAGGTAGTTGATCAGAAAGGGCTGTTGGCCTAATGGATAAGGCGTCGGCCTCTCCAGCTTCAAGTCCTGGGCAGCTCAATGTTTGTGCTCCCTTGCGCCAGAGCCGCAGTTGAGTCCACCTCAGTTGCCGACAAAGGGTCGCCACCTCCGCTGGCCTCTCCATCTCAACGGCCCATCTGCTCCACGCCAACATGGATGAATATACTCGAGGTGGGACTCGAACCCACAATCTCCTCCTTAGGAGGGAGGCGCCTTATCCATTAGGCCACACGAGCTACGAATGGAGGCCATTGCTATCAGCTCCGAGCCCATCGCTACTGGGTGGGGTGGAGGCCATTGCTATTAGCTGGGAAGGCATCGCTACTAGGGTGGGGTGGGCTCGCAGCATCCACATCATCCACCCATTCTCACTCCTTGCCCGCCTTCCACAACCTCAAGCACCTGAAACACCTCCCATCCCCATCCCCAGCCTGGCAATCAAGAAGCGCTCCATGACTCCATGTGTCTCCCAATGGCGATGGCCGCGCTGGCGAGCCGCTCGCTGATCGCTCGCTGGTGCGCCCACCCGCCTTGGCGCCCTCCTCGCCCACCTGGCAATCCTCCAGGGCCAACGCTTCCAGCCGCGTCTCGCGGTTCGCGGCCGCGCGCGCCAAAGCGTCGTTCAGCGCGTGGGCCAAGGCCTGTGGAGAAAGTTGAGGACACATCTGGCCAAATCTAGCGACAAACCTGATGGCAGATAATCCTTTGGCCCGGCCCTGTTCGTCAATTCATCAAGTTCTCATCCCCCAGAATATCGAATGTATCCAAGCACATCCAAACACACACACACACACACATTCAGCAAGCACTCTGCGCTTGGCACCTGGACTCCCATCGCTCCAATTGGATTGCCGCCCAAGTGTGTGCCCATCACCAACTCCTGCAGAATCCCAACCCAGCTCGAACCCGTTCTGAGAAGCGGAGAGGTTCAGGATGGCTCAGGTTGCTTCAGCCACGTTCATTTGCCTTGAAAAAGGACACATCTTCCAAGTCGCGAAATGCGTCGTTTTAGTGAGGCACCAGGGAACTGGTTGCTTCACGAAGTGGAAACAGAACCCTTCTGTCGGGTGACGCAGGACAATTCCAGAAATATCATTGAAATATCCAAATCATACCAGTCGTGACTTCTGGTATAAGTCAAGAAGACATCAAAAAATTGCAAACAGACCATGATGAAACCACGGCATCTTCTATCTTCTCACGTGAAAATCGCTTTCAGACTGGTCAGGACTGGTCACTCGCTCAAACGACCCTCTCCCCCGGCCACGCGGGGCAGTTGGAAGAAAACAAGGGCGCTCCCGTACGTTGCTGCGCGGTAACCTGCCAGCCAGCGCCTGGCGCGGTGGTGCCACAGGCAGAACCCTTCCAATGCGGCGTCCAAAATAGATAGATGAAGGCATCACTAATAATCACTATGGTGCCCCTCTGTGGTGTCCTAGGTGAAGTTGAGAGCTGAAAAAAGAGTCCCACACGAGTCTGACATCCGGAGTCACCTTCCTGGGCCGGCCGAACCGGATATCGGGTCGCTGACGTGTATGGCCGACGTGGTGCGGCCCGGCGTGAAGGAAAACCTTTCGCCTGGGCGCCAGTGACACCAATGTTATTCCGTTCCAGCAACAGCTTCTCCAGGGAGTCTAGGACAGGCAACGCATCTGCCAGCTCCTGAAGCACCGTTCTTCTTCGCACGTGAGGAGGCCCCTGAGAGATATGGCTTGGAGCCATCCCGAAAAAAACACATGTGTCTTCTTCAGGTCGGGTTGATCGAACTCCAGTTTAAGATGATCTATATAATATGATCTAATTAGAGTTCTTGAGAAAGATTCTTTGTTGATTCTGAACATGGAGACCCAGCACCTCCTCCCAGCGTGCCGGTGTGCTTTCCAACGGACCTCCCAGATACTGGCGCGGTGTCACGCGGTCTTCGACACGGACAGGTCTCCACCACACCACGGTCGCCGAACTTGTTGGCGCTCCTTGGCGGGGCACAAACCATCCGTTTTGAGATGCTCGTGTTGTGCTGTGGGGCGGCGAGTGGCTCTTCGCAGTTGGCCCGCACTTTTGAGAAATATTCCTCTGACTAACAGCTCTTCAGACTGCTGCTCCAAAACGAACCCAAAAGGATACCAAAAGGATACCAGTTAGAGTGCCAACTCAAAGATTTTATACTTTATGCAGGTTGGACCCTGTGCCTCAAACAAAAAATGAATGGCTCCAAAAACGTGAGCTCATGCCAGCTAGCTTTCGCCAATCCACCCCAAAAATCCGAAGTCCAAAGGATATCCAAGGATCAGGTTGAGCTCCTTAAGCTTCGCCGCCGGCTGCCGCGCATGCGCCAAGAGCCGTGCCAGGAAGCCACAGCCCAGGTCGCCGATTGAACACTCCACCAGCCTCGCTCAGGGGCGGGGCCGGGGTGGGGGTGGAACCCACCATGTTTCACCTGTGAGTGAGGCAAAGAACGGGGCTTCCATTCATGGGCTTCCACTATGGAAGTATTAGTGTGCTTGGGGCTTATCTTAAATTTGACCTGAAATCAGCTCACCCAGGAATACATGACATGGCAGCAGTGTCGCGCCAACCCAGCCATCCAAAAAACTTCACCACCAGAAGATCTGGACGATGAAGTACCAGAAGCAGCATGACAAGTCCGGTCTCGAGACCAACAAGGGCTTACATCGCCCCGCGGGAACATCCACATGACCTCTCTTTGATTCGACCGGCCTCGCAATCTGCAGCCGGCCGCCCCAGGGTCGCACGAAGCCGCAGGCCTCAGAGGCGTGCTTTCGCACCGACTCGACTCCCAAGTGACTCGTCTTGTCGAAAAAAAACACGCTACTCCCCACGCTCCTCCCATTGCGAAACGACACGTGGAGGGTGGACTCTGGCAGAACAAAAACTCTCTATAATAGCAGTTCAGATGGGGTTTTGACTCCCATGGTTCGTGAGTTGGGACTGGCTTTCTGAACACCGATGGTTGCGGTCGATGGTCGCGGGATTTCCTGGCGAGGGACAAGGCTGCAGCCCATATCACCCAGCGGTTGTCGGTTGAAGACCATCTCAGTGGAGCCCAGCCTCGCCGCAGTTCGGAACCCATTTCGCAAGGAACACGTTTCCGACCTTCCTGGAAGGCGCTGGGATCGGGTCGTGCCGGTGCCTTATGAAGGCCAAATCCCACACCCTCTGGGATCGTCTTCTCAGGCGCCGCTCTTCGCAACATGAACACCGACCACCGGCGGCGACTCGGGCTCTTCGGAAGGTGTGGCGATCTGGTCACCGGTCGGGCGCGGAAAACGGGCCGATTCGCTGCGCGCCTCAAGGGCGCCAAGGCTACACGACAGGGCTCGTGGACCTCCTTCCCCTTCTCGAAGCTCACCACGTCCACCTGAAGCGGTTGGGGGAGCCGTGGGTCCCACAACATCCGGCTTGGTAGAACAGGGAAACCCACACGAACCGCCATCCTACAGTCTACACCCCCCTGGAAGAGGAAAATGCAAACCCACACTACCCACACTGCTTGAACACGCCAGATTTCAGAGCGATCGCCCGAGCGATCAGGAAAATACATGTGTTCATCTTCGGAAACAGCATGAAACGCCATCCAGTACCTGATGTTTGGTCTCCCTTCTTCGAATTCGAACATCCTCAAACTATGTCCACTTCAACCTGAGGACTGTGGGTCCCTTTGGGCTTCTCCCTGGGCCATTCAGAAGATGCCCCTGCTGCTTCCCGCGCGTCTGACATCCAGTCCGTCTGGTCCGCGGTGCGGACCGCGGTCATCGGGACCTCATGGTGCGAGGATAAGGACTCGCCAAAGCTGTTGAGCGTGGTCACCGTGGCCACCGGCAAGGAGAGCGCTTGCCCTCCTCGGCTCGAATAGACTCGCTGCCCGACTCGGGGTCCAAACGCATGAAGCGGTGCTAGAAGACAGAGATGGGACCCTACTGGGTGGGACCGTCACATCCACAGTGTGAAGAACATGTGAACCACTGCGCTTCCTGAAATAGTCATGGAAGTGACACACTTAGGCCTCTGGAAAAGCAATGTTCCTCTACGGGTGAGGTCTGCTCAGCTTCTGTGATTGCATGAGCAAGGGTGCAGGTCAGTGGCAGTCTGAACAATGCCCAAGGAGCACTGCTCGAATCATGATGAAAGGACTGATGAAAGGGTTTGAACTTGGACCAACAGCTACCGCGGCAGTCAGCCCCAGCCTGTGCGGAACTTGCAGCGATCACGGTGCTTGATCAACACCTGGAGTGAGACAGTGAGAATCGCTGACTCTCCAACTCTGGCATACATGCGCCGTCTCAAGAATGGAAAAAGCAAACGAAACGAAACGGGCGTGTCACATGGTCTACTACTAGCTACCTCGCCCTATAGGTTACGCTATTTCTTGCTTCATCTCCCACAGGAGCAGCACAAGAATCCACCACATCGCTTTACTCATCCAGCCTTGGCCAAAGCTGCCAATGTTGCATCGTCCGCTTTCCGCCAATCCTGAGCTTCGCTCGCTTCGCTCCCGGCAGGAATGACATGCGGCATGATCTTCCACATCAAAGCCATGGCTGAGTCATGCTGAGTCTAATGCACCGCTTGTGGGGCTACTTCGTCTAAGATCAAGCTATTAAGTTGCTAAGCCTATGAAAAAGACACCCTCAGGAAAGTGATTGCAAACATGTGTGCCAGATGGTTGCACCCTTGATCCAATGTGAGGATGTCTGGCAACTGGGGGCTCAGAAGCGGTCAAGCAAAGGATTGCACTGGCAGCGCCGAGAAACAGCGTCCAAGCTCAAGGTCAAGGTGGGGTAGCTCAACAGCATGTGGTCTAACCTGGGATCTGGCGATATGATGCGATATGCTATAGCCATTTACGATGTTGCTGACAGGCAGTCTTTAAACGACGTGGCCAGCAAATGGTACTAAATCGTGTTTTGCATCGTTCAGCTTCCCCACTAAAAGCTGACCGAAAACCCACGGATGGCCATCGGCCTCGGACGGCCAACCGTTCCGCGCGAAATCCACGGCGGTCTGGCAGGGTCCCAGCGGCTCGTTCAGGACGGAGACTCTCAAGCAGTTGGAAGCCCAAAAGGTGAGGCAACGAGCGCGGTGTGCCTGACCCAGAGGTTTCCGTCTGAGTCGAGGATTTGGGTGATGGTAGAAAGGGAGGATAGACAGGGACAGGGAATTCTGGAATGGATGGTGTTGTATTTGTCTGTTTGTTCGGCCGCTGTGATTCAAAGGTTGGGCAAACTTGCCGTTCTCTTTCGCTTCATGGATCTACAAAGCTTGGCAACGACATGCATCCTTGTTTGGCTTGCGATTTCCCGAGGGCTCCTTCTTTGCAGATCAACGTAGAAAACGTCCTAAGAATTCCCACGTTCTTCTTGAATGGGTGGAGAACTTCTCAGGAAGCTACTAGTAACACGGGCTACTAGTAGCAAGGGCACTAATTACGTAAAGCTCCTGCCATAACTAGTAACAAGGTTCGCTACTAGCAACAAAGAAAGACAGAATGCTCGTATTGTTTCATGAAAAGTACAGTAAGTCAGTTGACTCTACAGAGTTCCCTTGCCCGTTCCGATGCACCAACTGGCGGCACCTCGGCCCGGTCGGAGAGAGCTCGCTTGGCCGCCTGGCGAGGACCGAAGCAGGGACACCGGACACGGCTTTGGGTCGAAACGAACGAGCCGATTCCAACAATGAGCGAGGAGGAGGACGATGATGATGATGATGATGATGATGATGATAATGATAAGTAGAAAATAAATAATAGCTTCTTGTTACTACTAGTAAGGCACTTGTTACTAGAAGCGATGCACTTGTTACTACTAGCGATGCACTTGTTAGTATCTATTAGAAGTTTCCAACAGTGCCTGGCTGGCGGTGTCTGACTGGCTCTGATCACCAACTGGTACTGAGTCGAAGGCAAGTTTATGCCATCCAGGATCCATTGCGCTCAAAAGTGGACTCGTGGGCCTACCTTCAGAGATAAGGAAGGTAGGCATCCGCCGGCATCCGCCCTACATGTCAATGCCATGTCCTCGTTCTCGGCTCACTTCCTCCCTACTCATTTCATCTCTTTTTCCACTTTTCAACTGCTTTCGCATGGCATTCATTCATCAAATCAACACCGAATCCTCCAACGGTCCATGCTTTGGACCCACCCGCAGCAAACCCGCAACAGGTCTCACTCGGGCGGCGTGTCGCCTCCAGGTCGCTCTCGTTCACCACGCCGGCCCGGGCGAAGTCCCAGCGCACGGAACCCTGCGGAGGAGCGTGGGAACGACGAGTCCTTCTTCTCCAGCTGGATCACGAGTCGGAACTGCCCGGGTTCAACAGGCAGGCCGTTAGGCAGGCAAAGGCCGTTAGGCCACGGATGAAAGGTTGGTTCGGCACTGGGTCGTGTGGCTCGTGTTGGGGGTCGTTTCGTTTTGCCACGACACGTCGTGGAGAGAGGCTCGTGCTGTTCTTGGGGTTGCATGGATCGGGACCAAACGGTGCAAGTGAAACGGTCCGAGTGTGGCGAACTTAAAACGAATCCGCGAGTTAAGAATGATGCCAGAACCTCCAGAAAGGCAGAAGAAAGCTCCCATGCTTGGATGGCTACTTATATGGCCATATGGCCATATACCAGCTTTGCTGGGAATGCACCAGGCCGAAACTTCTGAATTCATGAGTCCTGCCAGGCACGTGCCTCACCAGGCCTCACCCACCAACCAATCCCAGCTTAGCCTTCGTCTTGAAAATCCGCGACTCCCAGGCACTCTGAGGTGCCACATGCACCCGCCTGAGCTAAAAAACCGTGTGTCAAAACTGGTGTAAATTCCAAGTCATGGCCTGGCCAAAAATACTGTAAAGGTCATGCCACTCCCAGAAACCCACTGACAAATCAACGTTTTTGTATCGTTTTAGTTTTTGTATGTTTTTGGGTTAGGGGGTTTGATCCAAGTGGTTGGACGTTTCTCTTGAACCAACATTGACGGTCGTGCTGCATGGGGCAACGGCGTTGGAAGCGTTGGATTTCCGCCACAGGGCAGTTCCTAGTAGCTTCTTGTTACTACCAGTAAGGCACTTGTTACTACTAG